GGGTGGAGGTTGGGGTGGGGGTGGGGGTTTGTCCCAAATACACATTTTGCATCACTTCAAAAAGTAACGAAATCAGAAGCCAGGATTATGGTCACCATGTGTACGAAACCGGAAAAAGTATAGCAGCCAATAGCATGGCTTGCTTTGTTGTGCGACGCGGCAAAGCTTCAAAAGTGAAACATTGACATAGATGATTGACATTTTCTTCCTTCCTTCCTCCTTGTTGGGCATAGACATTTGAGGGCGCGCGCTGCCGTTTCTAATTTTGAAGTTCGCCCCGAACTATTTTTAATGCAAATGAATCAAGGTTTCTGTTACCACTAGTCGACACGCATCAACAACGTGGTCATGAAGGCTGCCATCACAAATAATAAAATAAGGATTTAAAAAACTCTTCAATATTATAATACTTTGTAGACAGAAACTACTAGTTTTATGGCGAGTAATTCTGCCTCTTTCTTCTCTCTTGAAAGCTTTTTAATACGAATAAAGACGTTGCTAAGTAACCGTTAGTGTTAGTTAGCATCTCGACCATCAGCGGAATATGTGCAAGCAATATGTGGGCAGTAAGGTGTGGGCAGGCAGAGTGCATGTAGGTAAATAAACCTGTGTGACGTCAGTGTGGGCAGCAGTGTCATGTGATTTGTGTCAAGTGATCACGAGTCAGATTAAGTGATCCCCCGCGACTGAAACTTAAAATTAGCGCTTTCACACCGCTACTAACTACATCCTTTGCCGTGCCGGTCGTTGTGGGTAATAAAGTATTTTGAAATCGATATATAAAATAACCACTTGAATATGACTCATAAAATAGGCATCATGTATTGTCTTTTTCTATGCAAAAAAGCCAATCCGACCATCTTAGATTACTCCTCTGTTTCACTTATCACGTCTTGAACCGCAACTCTAGAATCTTCTTTTAATTTTATTCTTATTCAAATGTTTTTCATTCGTCTGGAAGTCACAAATAATAGTGATATTTAGGCCCAACAATAAGATGACTAATTAAAAGGATTCTGGAAATGAATAGTAGAATCAAGATTGCGTAATAATAGCAAAGGAGAATTTAATGTCTCTTCTACGAGGGGACTGAAATTTTACGAAATGGTGATAAAAATGAAAAGGAATGAAAAGTCACGAGACCAGTTTTGGAGGGTACCTGTATTCTGACGCGTGCAAACACATCAAAATGTCGCGCCTAAACTTTGTGATCCCTTTAGTTAACATCGTATTAGATCCCTCTGTGTTTCGCGATCAGTTTTGTTATCGTTTAGTGTTCTATTTTATTTTTTTTCCTCCCTATTTTCATATATATATTTTGTCGGAAATCGATGTTTTTTTAATCAATATTTAATAATAGGTGCGACGACAATAGATAGGACGCGTAGAAGAAAAACAACTTTTTATCAAGGATTTATGGAAACTGTGCTAAAGCGAATTACTAATGTCTACGAAACTGTATCTCAACACCGCATGCATGTTTTATGTTTTGTGCATTCAAAATTTACATTTCAATTTTTATTGTTGCTATTTCGACGTTTGCGCGTTTGTTTTTCTATTTAAGGTCGCCGGTCAATTGGTAGTCATGACGATATGATAAAACCAACTGCTTACTAACACCTTTGAGTGAACTTTGTGACACCGTGCACTGTCTTTGAAGACCCACGCGTTTATGCTTCCCCGTGAAATGTTTTTTTCTTTTTTCTCTTTTCTTTTTGTCATCCGTCTTCTGTCATCTGGAAATCATCAGGTATCAAGTGTAATAAAGTTCAGGTCCTTCATGGTCTCTTGCAGGTATCATAAACAACGAATCACATGATCAAAGTAAACATGATTCAATATCACAAGAATATAGCGATATTTCTGCTAATTATTTACTATCACCGCTTATTTTACCTTTAAAAACACGCACGGGGATGTACGAAAAAAACTGTACTCGCTACAGCACGAGGTTTCTTTATGTGGCATAGAGCACGAGGGCCGTGACAGCTGCCAAGTATACCTGCCTGCTTCTATTTATTTCTTATTAACAGTGGACGCGATAAAACTAACGACTTTCCTAGAAGTCTATTGCGGGTTTAACATCCATACACTTGCTCGTCCTCAGAAGCAAGCATCCGCTTAACCGTCTTTACAGACAGTGTTGTTTTCTAATTATTTAAGAACATTTTATTACAAAAATTTTACTTTCTATTACCAGTAATATTTAACAACTATCTTCGGTTACAATTGGATGATTGGTTGTCGTTTTCGGTTGTCGTGTTTGGCCACGTGCCAAGACCCAGCAGTAGACAACATCCCAGTGAGGTCTATTCTGGAGCGTCACGCGGAATTACAGTAAACAATTAGCTTGCTCATAAATCTATGATCGTGTCTTGTAGCATTGGGCTGAGACTAGAACGATGTATCTTCGATCTGTGACTGTCTTGCAGCTTGATCTTCATTACCAGGACTCATGTGAAGGGCTTGTTCATTGAGTACGTTATTAGGCCTGGAATCTAGTTTGTTTTCATAGATGTCAGGCTCCTCACAAGACTCTAGTTCCTCGTTCCCAGTCCTCCTCTTATTGATATTCATCATGAGGCGTTCACCAACTTTAGTAATAATGAAAAAGAATATGAACCCAAACACAATAATGCCGACTGAAGTGCCAATCAACCAGGGTGTAAGAGGGACCAGGCAAAACGCGCTTACCAAGGCCACTGTATCGATGATATAAATGAGAGCAGCAAGGACCAAGCGATGGAAATGGGTACCAATAACAGAACCCAAGGGGGCACCAAACACCACGATGGGTACACATACACCCATGAATTCCCAGGCTTCCTTAGAGATCCCCCCATCCATCATCACGTGTCTCCAGTAGAAACCAACCAGTGTGTTTCCCGCCATTAAGATGACTGACGTAGGCGTGGCTGTTTTCTCTGTCACGCGGAAAAGTAACGTCAACACGCTGAAGCTACAGATATCCAAACCACTTCCGGCGAATGAAGAAAATATTCCACCAACGAAGCCAGTGAGAAAGAGGACAATTCCCTTCCAGATTTTGAAGTCAGGGATGGTTTTGTACGTTGTTCGTTTTCTGTATCGGTTGAGGAGAAAAAGAGCGAACGCAAAAGTGAACCAGATGCAGACAAAACACATTTTCTTGTATGGCGGAGTGAGGACTGGGTCTATGACGTGTAAACCAAAAATCATACCAGCCACTCCTCCCAGAGAACAGAAGATTAACGATGCGTACTCAAGACGAACTTTCTGTAAACAACAAATAAAAAAATTGAATGGGTAGCCATGACAACACGGGATACCATCTGCTGATTGGCTTCCTTCCGTCCTGCCTCTGAACCAATCAAACTGCAGGAACTTGCGATTTCCAATCAGTGTCAAGGTCCTGCATTGAGGTGGGAGAGACGCCATTCTACCCTGGGGAATGTAATCCTGCGGAATGCTACTTGAACAGGGAAACAACCTGTCTATTAGTGAGTCACGCAATAGTCCCTTTTCTCATTCAGTAAATACCGCTTTGTTTTATGACTGCAGACTCATCTGCACAGGTTTGACCTCGCTTAAGAGCAAATCATTTGCAAAAGTCAACTGTAATGTAAAGAATGTGCAAGTTCTAAAAGACCAATGTTTTGAAATCCCACGGACTTTAGGGTCACGTGAGCTGTTCACTCACCATAAAGAAGATAGTGATTGCAGCAGCCGACATCCCACATGACTGAATCATGAGCGAGAAGTCACGTGCTACACTTGGTTTGATGTTGAATGCCAAGGTCATGACGGGATAAGCTACAGCACCTCCTCCTTCGCTTGTCATTCCTGTTGGGAAAGTGAATGGGTGATCACTTCGGACAATGTGTCACTTGGGGCAGTGGGTCACTCATGTAGCATACAAACCTGCAATCATGGAGCCGAATATCATGGTAATACTCATGTAGTACTTGTCTAGAAACAGATGCCAAAGATCGTACTTGATGAAGATTCCCCACCAGAAAAAGTGGAAGAACAAGGCGGGTAAAAGAAGACCCACAACACGACGATGTTTGACCAGGACAACTTTGTACCATGGAGTGTAGTCATTCAGACTCTCTCTCAGTGCTGTTTCATGTCTCATGCTCAATGACTGACCTGTTCAAAAGAAGATGTAAGATTCTTGGGATGACTGAGTAAAGTATCTGGCATTATTCGATTCTAAGTCGAGTACCAAACATCAAACGAAATCTGGACGGCGACGATGTCGTTACCAAACAGTAGGCATATGAAACAACATAGACAACGAACTAACAGACTAAAGCAGCTAGCCTTAAAGACATCCAAGAAAAAGTTAAAAGACAACACGTTAGAAAGGTATTTCAGTTAATGCCATTTTGAAATCGTTTATTTTGTTGTAGTCTTTTATAAGTTTTAGACTTTAACTTTAGCCATTCACCATGGATATTTATCTAATATAGTTTATATTCAAAATATATTCTAATCAGATTTCTACATTATCAAAGTGGGACAATAATAGCATCGTATATTTAAAATCAATATTGCATGTAAATTAGTATTGTAAGCCTGTGAAGAACACCTAATAAAGTATGAGAGTTAAAAACTTAGAATGGTACGGACAGATAGATGAAAAGGAATTGATGTATGGATAAGAAGGCACGTATTGGATACATGGGGCGGAGTGGAATGGTATGGTATGATATGGTAAGTAATATGATTGAATAAATAGATGCAAACCCATGTGATAGTTGGATGGATAGATATATCGAACAAGAGTTACCTTCCCAGAAATACTTTTTTAACCATTTGATACATCGAGGGGGCCTGTTTCTCGGCTCGGTGACCTTAGGCTCCATCTTATCAACCTGTAAACAACGAAAACACAGCAATTTATATTTTGCGATTGCTGTGGGCCAGAAAAAAAACAGTCGCCAAGGCAGATAACTTGGTTTAACCCGGCTTCAAAAAGAATCTAAAAAAGTAAATGTCCCAGTTAGGTACTTCAAGTAAGCATTTGTTCTATGGATAAAGGAAAGTAAATCAAGTGTGATTAAGTGCCTCTTGTAAGTTTATGAAGTACTGTCATTTTCTCCCATCAAGACCATTTATGGGTATATGCAGTCAGTTATTATTCTTGTATTCATTATGTGTCTGTGTGTTATTCAGAAAACGAAATAGATATTACAGCAATTGCACTAACATCGTTTCAAATTCATACCGGAATATGGGTACCAATGAGAAACAACAACTTTTCTTTCTTTGCACGTGAATACTCTACAAGTAATAGTTTAAAAAAAGTTCAAGTGACGGTAACCCTCCTGCAACACTAAAAACTTGTCACTATAGTAGCCATACTAAAACGCAGTTGAATTGGGTGTTAAAAGTAGAGATGGACCGGCCCTGCCAGATGACTAGTGACCAATAAAACATTCGATAACTTACTTATACTTATACTTATCAACACAGCTATAGTATTTATGTGGTATAGAGTCTAGTTGATTGACTGGGTCCAGTAGATGGAAAGTTCTTTTACATAAAGAAGTGCAAGTGTGCATTAGAATCAGAACTTAGGGATTAGAACTTAGCACCTGATGAAAGGAATGCCACTCAAAAATCCCAACCTTGCGCGCGATCGTACTTTCCTTAGTGCAATCTATCACCAACCTTGATGCTGGCTGGCTTCATTTACGTGGTAAAGGTTTCTTTACATGTTACAAAAACGTGCATATAAAGTTTGAGAAAATTCCATGTTGTTGTGAGCTAGCTTTCTCTGATCACATTCACATCGCCCATAGTGGAATTCTGACTTGGTATGCAACATGAACTGGCTGTATAATTAAAACTTCTATCACTAACCTGAGCAGCAGTGACGTACGTACGTACACCTGTCAGATTTTGATTGAGTTCAGCTAATGAGGCTACGTATATATTGGTACGATGAGAATCGTTTGCACGCAATAATGAGTTTACACTTGATGTACTAAAGAGAGTGTCATTAATAATAGACGAACAATACGAATGAACGTCAACATTAGCCTGATACAAACAACACCTGATGGAGCTGATTAGTATTTTAAAAATGTTTAGATAAATCACGTTTAAACAGATAAATAGATGATTTGTCGAGTTGCCTTCAAAGAGTGTTTTGGCTATGCAGCAACCAAGCTGCGTGTTGTGCAGGCAATCCTTGATTGCGAGCGGATAATTTCAATTGCAAGTGCTCTTGAATAGTAAATCTGTGAAGAACTTAAAGCTAATTTCTTACTCTGAAACCAAGTTGGTCTTTAACACCTTGGAAAGTGAATAACATAAGCTGCTGACATGACAAGACTGACTTATCATTCAATATAGAATGAAATGGGTTACCTAGTTAGACTATAGTTCATGACATGAAGAAGCGAAAAAGTTCACTCAATCCCCTCACTACTAATACTTTTGAAAGACTAATATAAATTTATTTAGATAATACCGATTATCAGTGTGAAGTGACTTTCTTTTGTAAGTTATGATTTAAAACGAAATAGAAGTAGTAAAGATGGAAAAGAGAGAGAAAGATGAAGAAGGACTGTGCTGAAAAACGGAATGCGCGCGGTGGATTTGAGCAAGGCGTGGCTCAGTTGGCTAGTGATGGTTGGATCCTCAGGGTCTCTACATCTGTTTCGACTTCTCTCTTCTTACCGCGTAATGTTAGCTTTAGATTTCCATAATAATGAGTATTGATAGTTTGTGACCAGGTTAAAGGGCGCACCGTCGAACGCTCTAACGCAGCACTGTTTCGAAGTAAAATGAATTATCTTCACTTGTTACCAAAAGAGATATTCTTGTTACCTTACCTTGATCAATCGTAGTGTTCGTTCTGATGTATGACAGAAATGTAATCGTATCAACAAATGGGTATTCAAAGTTGACAAATAATAGGCATGTTGTATCATTATCGACTCTGGCCTTATATGGCCATTGAAGGATTAACTAGGATTAACATACCGCGCTAAGTTTGAGTTTTCCGATTCACTGGTTCTACACGCGAAAGCGTTCGGAGCTAATCCGAGTGTGGACTATGAAACAAAAACGTGTAGATGGGGCGGTAGCGAGAGTCAAGTTGTTGGGGGGGGGGGTAGGGAGAGTAAATTTGGAAAGATAAATTAGACATGTGTACACCCCGGTGAAGCCTTATTTTGTTAAAGAATCTATTTTGTTTGTATCATATAAGAACTAAGTTTTGCACGCGCTTTACTGTTCTGTTCGATTATAATGGACTATAAATAAAAGCAAACAGTCAATGACTTTCATAGTCTTTTTGGCTCTTATAAGAACCTTTTTTCAATGTTTGAACAAGGATTTTGTTATTGAAGTCTTTGTCTTAAATCCTCTGCCAATTTGTTATCCAAACTTATCCAAACTTTCTGTCACTGATTCTTCGAGCTGTAAGTAAAAACAAGTAACACTGATGGTTCCAGTGATTCATAACATTCATAACATTAACAGTAAACTCATACTCGAATACGGCATCTTATAGTTTATTCGATGCCAACATACTATACACAATCCGAATAACACTGATGATTCGAGGGATTCAAGTATACTCAAGTATTCCAATAAGCATGAAGCAAACCATTGGAATTCATACAGAATGCGCATCATATTGAGACATGCATTAGACTGCATTTCGGCATCGCCCATCGCTCTCACATGCTATGTTGACGTCTATATCTACCTACATTTATCTTTATTATCCTTAACGCCATGAATATTACAAGAATATTATGATGCAGCATAAAACAAAGCGTTCACTGCACCAACCTTTGATTTTCTGAAATAGCTGTAGAGTTAGAAATGGTATCAGTAAACTGAGCAGCAGTGATGTACGTAAGCCAGTCAGCTTTTGATTGAGTTAAACTAAAGATAGGCTGAACTCAGTATATATTGGTATGATGACAATCATTTACACGCAATTATGATTTAACACTTCATGTACTGCATGAATAATAACAATAGTAATGATGAAAACTTATCATGATAACGCCCATATCCATATAGCTCATAAAGGCGCTTTACAATAATAGTGAAATAACTGGGGAAATTTTAAAAAATCTAAGAAATCTAAGTGACAGGTAATATAAAATCTAAGCAGAATCTAAATGTAATGGACAACCATATAGTGATATACACTCAATTGAAGAATCGTTGTCGGGTTCAGAAACATAGAACATAAAAGCTGAGACCGAAATGGCACATTGGAAATGACATAATTATATTATAATTTATTCACTTGCGCCATCCATGCAGTCGGTTTAGAATGCTAAACGAGTATTCAGAACAGTGGATGATGCCACGGGTCGCCGGTCACAGCATGCGTCTAATTAACGTACTTCCCATGTGCCATTTCGGTCTCAGCTTCTATGTTCTATGTTTCTGAACCCGACAACGATTCTTCAATTGAGTGTATAAATGAACATTTAATAAAGAATCTAGGAAATTTAAAAGAATATCATGAAAATCTAGTGTCTCTTATTAGCAACGATAGGCCTTATTGAAGAAGTGTGTTTTTAACTGCTTCTCGAATATATCAAATGAACTCTCTGTTGAACCACAGGTAGCCCAAGCTTGGTTTATGTGGTGTCCTGTTATAAGGAAATGTATGGAGATTCATCAAAAATTTCAATAAGATCTTTGAAACGTGAAATAAAGCCTCGAAATTTTATCCAATCATTGAGAAATAGCACTTCTTTTGAACTGCGTGGTTATTTTTTGAATTTAGCCCGTTTTAAGATTTTTTCCCCCACCAGTAAGAAATCTTACTTACTGGTGGGGGAAAAAATCTTAAAACGGGCTAAATTCGAAAAATAACCACACAGAGCAAAAGAAGTGCTATTTCTCAATGATTGGATAAAATTTCGAGGCTTTATTTCACGTTTCAAGGATTCTATTGAATTTTTGATGAATCTCCATACATTTCCTTATAACAGGACACCACAGAAACCTGTGGTTCAACAGAGAGTTCCATAATGACTGCACACTAAGGCCTTGTAGCCTGCACGACTTTTCAGGAGTGGTCTGTATATACATCATATATATCATCAGTTTTATCAGTGTGGATTGACTTTCTGTTGTAAGTTATGATTTAAAAYGAAATAGAAGTAGTAAAGATGGAAAAGAGAGAGAAAGATGAAGAAGGACTGCGCCCAAAGTTCCTTCCGGTTATACAATCGCCAATCACCAAACGCCATTCGCCCCTTCAAACTTCTTTTGAAATAGCTGTATATAAAACTGAGTTGAAAGAGTTTGAGTGGATGTCATCTACCTGTCCTTTTAAGGTTTACCCGCCGTGTATCGTATCATGCACCCCATCGCACCTATAGCTGACGTGTCACTTGCATCCATTACATGTCGCACTAACGCTACACAACCACCCGTGCGTTTATGCCCGTGCCAATCTTCCCCGTCCCCGATCGAAACCAACCAAGAACGCCTGGCTGCCTTTGCAATGCAGCCTAAATGTTGCGTTAACGAGTTAGTGCTAATCTTCCTCTCATCATTAAAATGTTGGCAACAAAATCAAAGTTTGTGAAGCTGTCAAATAAACTTACAGTTTGTGCATTACAGACTAATCAGGAAAGTGTTCTTGGCAGAAAATATATAAATGTTCCTCGGTTTAGCGGATATGATGATTCTAAATCATGGAAAAGCTTTTCAAAAAAGTTTTCTCAACTAGATACATGACTTGACTCGCATAATAACATCACGCATTTGATCCATTGAACGAGAATGGTGAACGTGATCAGTTTAGTTGACTCACGTCCATTGCTTTAGTCGTTCAATTGAGCGATTCACTTTATCCTAACTTCTACTAACCTTTGTTATTCCATACAAGTTAATAAGTTCGTTCTCTTCCATTAACTGTGGTTACTACAAACTATTTCACGAGCTAACTTGTTTGCCGTACTCAGTTATTGTTGTAAAACCTACCTTACTGTAGTCGTATCAATACCTAAATCAACAAGCCATGACCACAGATTTGTCATTTAGATCATCTATCCTTAATTATATCCGCCTCATTCAACCAATATCAATAGAGTCACATAACTTTGCTGTTCACAATAGAGTAAAGGAAAGAATTAATGGATCCTACTCCAAAGATCAATTTAATTCTACTGGCTACCACATTCCCATTGGAAATGAAATAGTTTCCTACAAACACTAACTATATAATAATGCCTGTTTTCAAGTATTATATAAGGATTAGAAGAGAGTTTTTCTTGCATTAAGTGGACGGTGAAAACATTACATGCGGTGAGGCGTGAATGTGCTGGGGAGGTTAACGGAACCACGCTATAAGTAATATACTCTTTAATAAGGTTCTTTTTATCTCACTAACAATAGTGACGACCAAATCTGTGTATTGTCTTAGACTAATCTAACTGTTGGTCATGTATGGCTACATTAAGTAGATCAGCAACATCACAGCCGAGTCTCCTTCTCTGTATGTTGGTCATCGTGGTTTTCTTGATCTCTTGCTGCTTTTAACTCATTAATATTCATCAGTCTTTCCCCGATCTTTGTCAATAAAAAGAAGAAAAGGAATCCAAAGATGATGATACCAACAGATGTCACGGTCAGCTCAGGTGTTTGTGGCACGAGGAAGAAAGCTGTTATCAAGGCAACGGTATCTGTGACGTACACCCAGGCAGCAAGGACCAAGCGATGGAAATGGGTACCAATAACAGAACCCAAGGGGCACCAAACACCACGATGGGTACACATACACCCATGAATTCCCAGGCTTCCTTAGAGATCCTCCCATCCATCATCACGTGTCTCCAGTAGAAACCAACCAGTGTGTTTCCCGCCAT